GGACCGGCCAGGTGGTGTGGCCGGTCGGCTGGCTTGCATTCTGTCACGCCTACCGCCAGTTGTAGACGTGCCCCGGCGGCCCCCGGGCAGCGACCCTATTCCGTTTTCTTTATTTATACTCGCCATCTTTCTAATTGCCATGGCCCCTTTGGCCGCGTAGGTTTTATATATACGCGTGACCGCCTTTCACGTGAGCTAGATGATCAGCTCGGACGCGGGGTTGGACTTTGAAAGGCTTATTATTATTATTATTATTATTATTATTATTATTATTATTATTATTATTATTATTATTATTATTATTATTATTACGTACTGTGAGATAAACGAATGAACGGATGAAATAAAGTAGAAACTGGCGTACTGTACTAACTAAAAAGTATAATGAATTTTTGCTATTGTATTGAGTTGTATGTTTTTTAGAATGGAACCCCAAAAACAGAGCTCGATCAACTTTACGCAGGCAATCACAATTTATGCTCCCAATGGACTGCCCTCTAAAGCCAGACAGAATGGTTTTTGATTACCGTTCTGGTAATATTTTGTCTATTCATGTCACTCGATCCGTCTGTATGTATAGAAACATTTTCCGTTTTACATTTACCGATATTAAAAGACAGTGAATATTAAGAGATAATTACTCCGTTTATTTAGGTACAACATATTAGCTATATTAATAGCTACTCGCTCTGGCTTCGCACTGGTGTACATATATTATATATATAAATTATTACATAAAAATTATATATATAAACCTTCCTCTTGAATCATTCTATCTATTAAAAAAACTGTTTCGAAAACGGTTGCGTCGTTTTAAAAATTTAAAATACATACGGACGGACAGACAGCGACAGCGACTTTGTTCTATACTATGTAGTGATATATAGAATATTCTTAATTTGCAATATACCGTAAAAGGAAAAGACATAATATGTTAAATTCCTATCGACTCGGCCGGGTTTATCTCGGGTGTATTACAAATCATTAAACTTCTCGACTTTTCTGTATTATATATGTATGTATATATATTTACAATTTGATTATTATTTTTACATGCTCTTCTGTCACTGCACTCTATTATATTACAACGCCTAAAAGCAGATATATTTTTCTATCCTTTATTATCACTCATATAAACCTTCTCTATCAATTGTTGGAAACTCCATTAAAATCCGTTGCATAATTGAAAGGATCTACAGATTACAGATATTCGTAAAGATTGCGACTAGGTCTGCTTGCGAATTCATTTAAATATTCTTTATTGCACTTAAATACATATGTAAGTATATTAATTACAACTAATGTTAACAAAGGAGGACTTATCTCTAAAAGAGATCTCTTCCAGTCAACCCAATAAAGTCAAAATGTGCAAATAATAATTTAATAAAAATGTCACAAATAATTAAAACTAAACATAAAAAAGAAATGTCCAAAATACAGATACTAATACAATAGACATAAACATAAAATATATTAATATATATATGTACTTGGATATCAAAACAAAATAACATTTATAATACAATAAAATACCACAGTCTGTTATAAATCTGCCAGAAAAAAGATTTAAATGTCAAATAAAACACTTCCTTTGCAAAAAAGCTTACTATAAAATTGAAGAATTCGTTAACGATAATAATTTTTTGTAGAAAAATTTTAATTTTACATAGCACTGACAATATTATCTGATTACATTAATAATGAGTGCGTAGCGATTTCTATGTTGATTGTCGCATGCCTCTTACTTGTTACACTGTAATTATTTATATAAAAAACATCTATTAAAAAGAGCAACACACAAGTTTCTTGCTCATTCTTCTTGTGATGAATCTGCATTCCGAATGAGTGGTAGAATCAAAATATGACTATTCAAAAGTGCTTGTAATGAGTTTATTTGAATAAAGATTATTTCTATTTCTAATAAATATATGATAAACAACATAAGTATATACTGAATCAAACAATAAATACTACAAAGATATATATACACTACTATTTAGACTATTACTACTTATTTATTAGTAAAAAAATTAAATCAGTTCAACAGTTGAAATGTATTTAGAAAATACCATCTTGTTATTCGAGTTAAATATAGCAGTAAAGTTTAATAAAGTTCTGTAACATAAAAAAATGGCGGAATCCCTTTATTGCCAATGGAGCGCTGAACGGTAGCGCAGCAAAAAATGTATTTCGCTGAATATTACAAATCCTTTTAATTGAACAATGGGTACGTATTGGACAAAGAGTATTAATTGATAAAACAGAAGAGACAAATAAAAATAATTTCTATTTTTAATTAATTGCATTTATTTTAAATCACGTCTAAGTATAGACAATGTTACTAAAATGTATTTTTTTATGTAAGAGAAGTAATTTTTAAAGAAGAGTATATTAAGGTTTCTTAAGGGCCGGCAAGCGCACGTGATGACATAGGTGTGTTAGGCATCGATTCATTATCAGATGGACCGTATGCTTGTTTGCCACCATCATAATATAAAAAAAGTAAGAGATTTTGTGCCTACAAATTACGGAGATATAGTTATTTAGCGATAAGTCGGCTCATTGTTGTCCCTGTTGCTTATTGTAGTTATATATTTATGTAATTATTTTTGCGTGAGAGGAAAAATTAATTTGTTTTTTTTAATTACTACTAATTTAATACTTCTATTACTACTAATTCATTTACTACGTTACGCTTTGCACAAATAGTTTTAATTTTTTACAACGTACTAATAAAAATGTACCAGTCTATTTATCATCAGAGGTTGAATTCGCTTAAGCGTTGCTGTTTATATAAAACAAAATATTACACCTTTTAAATTGTGTATGAATTAGAGAACTATTTAAAATGGGCATCGAAATTAAATACAATCAATCAAAACAAAAGTAATTTATTCATATTGGACATTTTAGCCGCTACCTATATAATTAACTCTAAGACTTAAGAATGGTTATTAGTTTAAGCATTAAATATTTAACTATTAAACATATTCAGTACTAACAGTTCAGATAAAATTTTTTTTCTATAGCTTGTTCAATAAGTATTTAAGTTTAGAAATATTAAGCCACGATAAGGTAAGTTTGAAATGTCACATCTGCATAAGATTTTTCTTTGATTAAGGTGTACGATTCCCGGAACAATTCGGCGATAGGGGAACGGTTTAATTAATAGAAGCCAAATATTGACAAGTGTCGGGAATTAAGGTGACGTGCTAACTTTCGGTGTAATTTTTGACTACTGTCAAAGGTCTTATTTTTTAACAGTTGTCAAATAGTGACAATTTTTTGTTTTATTTTAACACTCACTGTTACATTCGGCGGTATACTATAAAATAATATTAGCAGTTTATGCGTTTTCCCACGTTTACTCGTTATTTTCTGTCCCTGTCGGAATTGTAAGAAATAAAACGATGTATTTTATAATCTATAATATTATTGTTCAAAATCTACCCGGTATCATCGTAAGCACAGATTATTATATTAGAATCCGTTAGTTTTCTGTTCCCGCGCGTTCCCTTCCCCTCCCTAACTAGTAACAAACGGACTGTACAGCGACCTTGACGCGCGCGCGCATTGTTTGTGAATTAAAATAAATTAGAACTGTGTTAACCTACTGTGAAACCTACTGTGAAGCTGGAAAGCTAGCGAAGATATCTTCGAGACCCTGAAGCCCAAGAAATCCGCAGAACCATAAAGGTAAATGACTGACGCTTCCCTAACATTTTGGTAGCAGAGTAGTTTCCCAAACAATTATACATGCGAAAGTAACACTGCCTGCTGGTCTATTTTACTTTTACGCCAAAACCAGACCCCGAGAAAGAACATAGGCTACTTTTTAATGGGAAAAAAGGATTGTAAGGGGTTGAAAGGGGAAATGAAAGTTTGTATGTAAATATCGTCATTTTTGAAGCTAGAATGATGAAACTTTTTTCTTTAGGTTAGAATACTGCATATTTTTCCTTTATTTGGTCAAGGTCGCGGGCACAGCTAGTTAGAAAATAAATAGACGTTCAATAATTCAGGTGTCTGTTCTCAGTAATTTTGGCTGTGCATAGATTAATCAATCAGTTACAATATGTTAAGAGAAGGTTACTCTTAAGGAATAAACTAAGGAGAACATCAGTAGCAGTGAGAACACTTTTAGTCAATATAGTCCAGATTTAAATAATATTATAATATATATAAATTGCTATAAGATCCTTTAAATTTTAAAAACATGTTAACACAATACGTAACAAAAATTTACAATTTTTTGTAGAATCATAAAAATATCACTGCTACACAAATATATGTTTATAATAAAAAATGAGTATGGGCATGTAATGCGTAGGAATAAAGATCATATCCTAAGGAAGGTATTACATAAGATATATGTATGTGGATGGTTATAAGGGTAGAGGAAAACCGAAAAAGAGATGGATGGACTGTGTGAAAGATGATATGGTGAGAAAGGGAGTAAATAACGAGATGACTGCGAACAGAGATGAATGGAAGAGAAAAACATATTACGCCGACCCCAAATAAATGGGATAAGGAAGAAGGTGATGATGATGATGATGATGAATGGATTTCGGCTTATATAAACTAAAACCGATTTATACAAAGTCAGCTACATAACAAATTTAATAATGCGTTAATAAAAACTAGTAACATATTATAGTTACTTCGCCTTAACATTATCAGTCAGGTATCCATAGAAACAATTGCTCTCTCTAGACTGGAAGTCTTAAGATAATTGTCTCAATCTTAAGGGTTAATATTTACAACGGCAAATGATAGCTCCCTCACGTCTGAGGGGTGAAAAATTCAATCAGCCTCATCCTTTAAAAGGATTCTCAGAATACCTGTGTTTATTTAAACTGTTATGTTATTAATTTAGAATTGAAATTTTAACTTAATATCTATTTATTTAGACATAAATAAAAAGTACATAAAAATAAAAGGAACATCAAAGGACTTCGCCAATATTTTTATCAGTTAATACACTCTCAAATTCTTACCTTGATTAATTTATTTTGTAGCTTGGTGACGGCCATTTTTTCCTTCTGTGTCCTTCTTTTCTCATCTTCCAATTGTGCTTCCAATTGCTTAATCCGTTTTTCCAAAAGTTCCTGTAACAAATAAATTTACTATAAATATTACCATGTAAATACGGTTTTTGACTGAATATTATACTTGTAGATAAAAGTTTATTTGTCTTATGTATTTGTGTACGTACTTGTGTAATTGGTGTAATCAGTAATATTTGTGTTTATAGTACTTTAGATGTAATATAAATATAAAATATGTAATTAATCTAGAAGCTATGACGGATCTAATATGCTTTATACTGTGATCCTAAGCTCATAAGTAAATAAAGAGAAAAAAGGCAGATTTTTCGACGATAATCAAGTTTGTTGCTTAAGCAATTTTTTTTATGAACGATAATGAAACGACGTTTTCTGCAATCTAAACAGATTTAATTTTGATGAAATAGTAATAAAATTTATTCAATAATACTGTATAGAAATTACTGGATAATAAATAACCCAATTCTTTAAATGAAAAATGTATAACAATTTAATAAACGACAACAGACATTAAACTTGTCTAAAGTTAACAGAGGGAAATAGCGCAATAAGGTATACAGCTAAGCGGATGTGACGTCATTTGTCTAGTGTCATTCAGGAGGAAGTGTAAGATTTGGTTGCCCTTTTGTATAGTGACAGCGAATATGTATAGCTACGTGGTTTTAGGATTCTACCTAAAAACAAAAATCTCGCCCTAACTCCTGATATACAATGGCAGTAAAGAATTATAAAATTATCTGTCTTCCCTTCATACAAAGAAAGGAATCTTAGTGCATTATGTGAATAGGTTCCTTTACAATATGCCAGCATTAATTTCGATTGTCAGAATATTTTAGTAAAGAATTTAGAACAAAGCCTAAGACACCCGGAAGATGTATAAAAAAATAAAAGTTTCACAGCTTTTATGGTCTAGCGGTTGCTAGCTTGTATGCTTGTATGGTATAACCATCGCCTTACTTCCAGTGGTGTCGGAGTCGATTGTAATTTTTTTTTACTTTTTTTTTGACAATTCACACAGTGCTATCTAGACTTAGGTTAAGCTAGCTAAAGCTTGTCTTATGGATACTAGATAACTGATACAGATACATAGATTTTTCTTCCATTAATACAGATGCATATATTATAGATAGAAAACACCCAGACCGATACAAACAATTACACTTATGAATAGGTAAAAATGTTTGTGTCGTGCGAGGAATCGAACCCGCGACCATCGGACATAAGGCGTCCATGATAAAATAATATTCACATTAATATTATCTTCATATTAATAAAACATTTAAGAATGTTTTTAAAATTACCGGATACAATAAGTCTTATATGCGATAAAGTTTCGGAACTGAAAACATTATCATTCACTCAACGCCCATAAATAATATGACCCGTATTTCCTACTAACGCATCATTAACAAAGGGCGACATTTTCAAACGATATTATGAACTAGCCTTTTAGTTATTCCTTTAGTATATAGGAAACTATTCTCTATCGCGTTGAAATAAAGACGATAAGTGTGGCAACTGATTTTGTAAATTTCTATGAATAAGAACAAAGAGATATGCCGAGCATTCTGACAAAGATTATGTAATTATATTTTTGTAGACATACCTGTTCATATATTTATAATTCGAACTACTCTATAATTTTCTCTTGTCTGTTTAATTCCACAAACACACAACCAATAGTTCAAAATTTCATCATTTAACTATATCTGTCTGCTTTCTCGTGCGTAGCAAATTTTGAAAAGTCGCCACACCTATCTGGGTACCCTTGCCTTTCAATTTCAGCCGCCAGGAATTTTGTCTTATATGTTATGTTTCCTTTAAAGGTTGAGGTAAAGCCGTGTTACAGATGTTACAGGCTAAGAGGCATGTTAGTATCGTGGCTGTCACTTCATAACGTGGCAGTAGTGTTCATGTATAAGCAATGATTACCACAATTAGGTAGATATAATTTGTTTGACATTACATACTAATAATAACTCTTTATTGTGCACAGACAAACAAAGAACAATATAATAAAAATGTTATGCAAAAGGCGGTCTTATACATACAGACAACCTGGTATGTTGACCGATACTACTTACATAGCGAAGATAGGAGGCGTACACTAGACACTATATTTATAACTAGCTACTTGCCCCGGATTCGCACGGGTGTATATGTATTATATATATAAACCTTCCTCTTAAATCACTCTATCTACTATAAAACCGCTTCAAAATCCGTTGCGTACTTTTAAAGATTTAAGCATACATAGGGACGGACAGACAACGACAGCGACTTTGTTTAAGACTATGTAAAGATACATTTTATAAGTATAAATAAATAAACTTACACACTAATACATATTATATACATACATACTACATATGAGACGAGAACAAAAGGAAAATTTAGATATAATTCAGTTACGAAGAGAGATAATGAGATTTTAGTGACATACATAAAGAAAGGTCAATGACCATACGTGTAAGTATTCAAGTGAACTATCAAAGACAGTCTGCGCCTATTTTACTATGATACAGTTCCTGGCGCCAGTGCGCGTGCTTTACAAATAATAGCTATATGGTGTCTAAGGAGGGAGTGTAATCTTTCGGAATGATGGATAAATTAATGGGCACCGTTATTGGAAATTGATACATGGGAATGCTAGTTGCATTTATCACCTCATAGACGCAAATTTACATCATTTTGGATTGGAAATATTTTATGTTGTTGTAATGTCTTGCAACGTTTGCTTCATTTTTAGTTCTACCGGCTTTTGGACAGGAATTTTGGCGTTATTTAATTTTATATTGTTTTTGTATTTTGTTATTTTATTTTTAAAATATGTGTATGTGTGTGTGTGTAAGGTAAGAGGCGACTGAAGAAAAATACAAATATTTAGTCATTCGAATAATGATGTAATAAAATAAAACTTAAATACGTATGTGCAAGAAAAGAAAAACTCAAATATAACCGTATAACAAACCACTTGGCTACCGTACTAATAGTAATCTAAGACTTCTTCTCTGAAGAGAGTTCCGTGTCCAACTGTAGGAAGATAATGGGGTTATTATCGTTGTATCTGGCTAATCAGAAATGTGTTTTTATTCCAAATTGGTATTTAAATTTATAGTTCCTTTATTGTGCATTCTTTTTTACACTTCAAATTCTGTTACGCCAATAATTTTTCTCAATATATATCTCCGTATTTTCTTTTGCCTATACAGGTATAAAAAACTCAAGAGTTATAATCATAAATATAATTATTTCAGTTACAGTAGGTAACCAATTTATTTAAAATTGTGTTCATAAATTGCCATTTCAGAGTTTTAACCTCTTTCAATATGTGATCGGTAAATATGCCAATGGCATGGATTTTATGGTCACTGATTCAGATGAATCAATGAACTGAATAACTGAATTTCACTCGTAAATCTGTAGTACATGAAGACTTATTCCGATTGACTGGTTTAATTAAATAACGAAATTATAAATATGGATAGTTTTTAACATATTTTTTTTTCTGGACAATTCACACATCACTATCTATAATAGTTTCAAGTTAAGAAAACTATAGAAACAAAAAAACAATAATACTCATGAATATAATAGTTTCTAACGTGTAAAGGATCGAACCCGCGACCATTTGATGACAGGCGGTGCGCTAAATCGCTAGACCACAATTACTTACTTACTAGACTACTTACCAGAACAATATTACATAGGCATCGGCTATCAAAAAAAACCTCAAATTTATAACGAGTGGCCAGCGAAAAGCATCGCTATGAAAAATCTCCTCAAACTTATTATCCTATAATATACATATAAAAAACATACTCAAATGACGAACTGAGAAACGTATTTCTTAAGATGTAGGGACTGTTAAAAGCTAGTGATCGAATACAGCTATTATCAGATAATTTTTTCATCTATAACATTTGTTTTCGATGTGTTTTGTGTGTATGCAGTGTGTAAACACCCTTAGATTTATCTACTAGTAGAGATCATTCAGGGGTCTATTCCTGTCAGTCGCTAAAAGTCATTAGCGAGACCTAATGCGGGAGACAGGAGAAATGTTTCACGAACGATCAGTCAAGATGGGATCTAAGAGCAAACGACACTACGTACGAGTATGTACATATGAGAAATGTCGGGAGCTAATTGAGTGGTCGCGGTGTGTTTATTTTGTTCCGCAATATTTACATTCTGGAAAATAAGTAGAAATACAATAAAACGTCTAAACCCTCAAATTAGTTATCTACAATATTTCATATTTTAAACTAATATTAATACCAAAGTGTGTAGATAGATAGATACTTTATTTGCTTTAACATTTACAACAACAGTACAAATGTTCGCCTCATATTCAGGGGGCATGCAAATTATCTTATATAATTCTCGTGTCACAGTTTTCATTCCCATACTCCTCCGAAACGGCTTGACCGATTCTTGTGAGCGTATTGATTAGGTCTGAGAATCGGCCAACATCTATTTTTCATCCCCCTAAATGTTAGGGGTCCACCCCTAAATTTTTTTTTTATTTTAAGGCAAAATAACGTTTGTAATTTACAACAATTACTTTTACAATTACATTACATTATATATAAGAGTATTACATGTCAGGTCAATTCTAGCAAAGAGTAACGCATTTTTTAACGAGCCATTGGTGTAATTCTTTTTTAAATCTATTTAACGGCATCTCTCGAATTACCTGTGGTATTTTATTATATATTTGTATGGAGCTGAGTTGTGAGTTAATTTTATGCAAGTTAGTTCTACACAATGATTGTTGCTGTGTCCGCGGTTTCCCGCGAAAATTTTATATAATATATGTGTAATTTTGATGTATAAAATATTTTATTGTAAAGTTTCATTAAAATCCATTCAATAGTTTTTGCGTGAAAGAGTAACAAACATCCATCCATTCACACTCACGAACTTCCGCGTTTATAATATTAGTAAGATAAAATTATTCGTGTTAAAACCCGGTTAATAATATAAATATGTTGTATTAAACAACGCTGTTGGAAACTTTTTATATATCTTTTTTATTGTCA